AGTGACTGCATATCAAATAAAACATGAACAATCATTTATGCATGACATATATCAAAACACGATTCATTGAAGTTCTACTTTTGTAGACAATATAATTGGGTCCAAATTTCCACTGTTTTTTTTTGTTTGTTTGTTTTTTTTGTTTTTTTTTGCTGTGACGTCATAATGAAATAAGGCAATTTTTGATTGGATTTTATATAGAGGCGTATGCTTTTTGTTGCATTTCGATGAAAACTATGCTGATTTCGGAACGCCTTACGGAATTCTATTTGCTGATGTGTACAATAGAATTATTTTCGAGTGCATTCCAAAACAATTTCAATTTCATTGTGGCATATGTTTTCCCCTCTGATATTATTAGCGCTCGCTTGCCTTCTTTTACGATATAGTCATTTCGGATTGCAAAAAATACTATATATTAAGGTTTTGTTGCTGCAGCGATAACGTTGATATCTTCATACACAGCATACAAATGCATTCCAATTCACTAAAGTTTACACATATTGATTATTATCAAAGATGTGCACGTCCTGGAGACAAAATTACCAGCCATTGTTTTATATTCACGGGGCTCACAAATAACCACACAGCAATGGTGCAATAAAATGACAAAAAGAAACTCACCATCTATATGTGTAGCCTTGAACTTGTGTCACGGAGTGATTCGTTCATGCATGAGTTAGATGAGCAACATGTCAGGAAGAACATGCAGCAAGTGCCGTCTTCATGGCAAAATAGAACCACTGAAAAGCCACACAAAAAAATTGCATGTTTCAAAATTGTACTTGTGCAAAATGTGCCAGCCATGACCGTGTATTGGAAGTTATGAACGGTCAACGACAAAACAAAAACGACAAAGGTCGAATTAGTAGATAAAATTTATCAGCCAGCGTTACTTCTACTGTTGCAGCCTCTAGCACTCTACTGGACAGTGGCGGATCCAGGGGGGGTTCCATGGGTTCCTAGGAACCCCCCTCAATCATAAAAAAATAAAAAATAAATGATAAATGGAATAAAATGAAAACGCATCGTACAATGAGTTTTTACGAAATACATCACGCTACATCCGCTACAGTTCGAGAGGCACAGTAAAAAAGTTCGTTTTAGGAAAATGCGAAAACAAAGTGGAACCCTCCTTTGAAAAATCCTGTATCCGGCACTGCTGCGTCAACTACATTTCCAGAGAAATGGCAAAAAGTGACAATGAAAGAAAGCGTTCACTTGTACTTCAGATTGCTGACTACGAATTGGGAGGAAAAATTACCCGAAAGAACAAGTYAAAARCCGACTAAATTAGCGGTAAGTCAGTTTGGTTTGAGAGGAACTTAAAACAATACACTCACTACATGATACAGCTRAAAATAAAAATATTTTCATCATCATTGATATAGTTCGGGATTTTTTATTTGTATGAGCTTTTCGCGTTAAATTTCGAAGGGAAAGTAAAACAAAAATATTTCGCTTTTAGATGTATATATAGAGGTCCACAATTCCTTTCGGTCATGCAATTGCCATTGGACAATTTATATCCGTTCTTTCCGACGTCTTTTTTTTTAATATATGTCCGACGTCTTTTTTTTAATATATGTATACAGAAGAACGATTTCAAATCTTGTACATTGTACTCAAACTTAAACCTCGTACTCGTTGATATATCTCATACGAGCAAACTTTTAATTGTATATATATATTTTTTTCAGAAAAGCGGAAATTACAGTTGAAGAAGCATAGAGAAACGTACAGCGCGTATAAATTCTTACTCCAAAGAAATAGCTGCAGAAGCAAAAGGGGAAATGAATCCTCTTACGGTATTAAAGAATGCCATCCAGCTGCATCAAAGAATGCCAAGAGTCCACACAGACAGCTAATTCGCATATATAATTAAATATGTAAACACTTCGAGTTCTAGAAAATTTTCTTTTTAATTAAACGCCCTGAAAATTAGCGCAATAAGTGAGAAAGAGTTACTTAGAAAGCCACAATTTAAATTTTTATAATTACTATTTTACATTTCACACAAGCTCGGTAGAAAGTTTGAATATATTGACTGCCAATTTTGACTGCCATTTCTCAAGCAAATGCAAGAGATCTGTGAGTATAGAAGACAATGGAAATAATTTGAAATCTCACGAGTTTTATCTACATTTCTGAATATTTTAGTACACAATTGAGGCTAACATAGGGTGAAAGAGATCGAGAAACTAAGCTATTTACTCCGCCCTGTCCTGTGCGACAATCTTATCACAAAGTAAAAAATTATGTCGCGTTTCATACAAATTTCATTATACCCTGGGTATAATGATTGTTTTATTGTGTCGCATTGAARCAAAAGCTAATAAACTATATATCATTTTAAAGCTTTATATAGAATAAAAATTACGATAAGTTTTTTCTTCTAAATACTGTAATTTAAAAGAGTACCGCACGCTTTTACGTACGTTTACGTTAATGTAAGTCAAAGATTGTTTTGTGCTACTGAAAAGATATTTACGGAAAAAACATTCTACAGATATTAGTCTCAAATTAATCATTTTTTHACAAGCATACCAAAACACTTATATGAGATTTCCTATATGGATCGAGAATGGTTGAACAACGAGAACATTTCGAAGCCGTCTTTCAGAAAATCCAGTTAAAAAAATCCAATCTGCGTCGTAAGGGGCCCTATATAATGGATTGGGGTTGGTCCTCCCCGATTCCTTTATATAGGGCCGCTACTAAGGCTACATCAAGCGCTCTTTTTACAAAAGTTATTTTTTGAAAATTTACGTAATTTGTTCCGTTGATAGCCATAGCCTCCCCAAACCTTTCTGAAATTCAAATTCTTTAGTGATAGCGATGGATTAGATAAATAAAGCATGAAATCTGCTTGTACAAGTATTTTTTCACTTTTTAACGCAACTGAACAATTTATTGTGTTCTAACGAATAACGTGGAATATACGAGATGAAGTATGGAATTCTTCACATCATTAGCAATAGCATCGCTAGAAATTCTAATTATTTTCTCTCAATTGTGATTGACACGCATCACAACATAGCATTCAGTAATATCAAACTATCAAAAATTGACAACTATACATTTATTTGCCTACAATTAAGGTTCGTTTCTCATTTTCTTTGATTTTTGTTTTCAGTGCAGCAACAGTAGACCTCACTCTACTCTGTTATTGATTGTTCTCCTGATGGGTGTCATATACAAGCCAACATAGCATGAAAAATAATAACTCTCAATGTTTTCATTTTTCAATAACTCTATTTGTTTTTAATTGCGCAAGACATGCCCTTAAATATGTCCGTGGTACTGGACTAGTACCATGTGACCTGATTATATGGAATCACATCGATAGTATATTTAGAATTTGAAATGTTGCCATTCGCACAATATATTTCTCAAACTTTTCAATGTCTATATCCGCAGTAAATCTCGATGATTTAACCTACCTGAAACTGGCAAGCTTTTGCCAATTCTTGGTACACTTTTTTTCAGGAGTACTAAGCAAAACAGAAAAATGATTACTACTTGTCATCTGTACCATCTGGAGGTTTACGCTAGATTAGCACCTCAGTTCTCAGATGAAGTAAACTTTGCAAACATTGCAATAAAGCCTCCTGGTGATCTTAGTTGGTCTCCTATACCAACTGAATTATTGTACTTGAACAAGCCAGGTAAGTTATCGTGCATTTAAACAAGTGCTATATATACAGTAAGTACTTTTTATTCATCACTGAGTCAAACTTTGGTGTGATTTATATTTACAGCACATGAAGAGTCTTTTACAAAAGGCTTAAAAGTCAGTCTTAAAAAAGTCTTAAAAAAGAGTCTCAAAAGTCGACGTTATTTGCGGAAGTGTTCTACTTGGCTTTTGTTTACAAAAACTTTGTTTTTTTGCCGTCGGTTACTCATCGACGGTCATATTTCGATTTTAAAAACTTTGATGTTTGTGAAAAACCGTATAAACGCAAATTTCGAACTAATGAAATGTTATGTCTTCCTTCCTTCCTGGCCGGCGAAAAAAATATATACACACAACTTATAAATAGCTAGATACACCCACACTACATTTATTTCAAAAAATAAAAAAGGGAAACATTCTTGGTTAGATAATATCGACTTGATATCTGCATATCAACAAAGTCGTTGAAATTATTGCTCGAATGCATCGAGCAGACTTTTAGATGTATTTCATTCAAAAATACAGCACAGAAAGTTATAAGTTAGGCACTAATTCCAATTTTCGACTTTTTTAAAAAAATTGATATGTAAACTGAGAATACTGAACATTCTGATTTCAATTTTTAGGGTCAAGGGAACTTCATTTCAATTTGAACAAAAATATCACTCCTCACATAAGTCTTGGCTCAAACTTGGTGATAAAAGGTACCCGGGGGGGGGGACTCCCTAATATAAAAGGGCGGGGGTCCTCGGCGTCCCTTTTAGGGTTTGAAATCAGTATTTTGGTCCCGCTTAGGGTGATCATGACAAGAATTCCTACCAACTGTGTTNATTTTATTCAAACTTGGTCAATGTGTCAATTATGTTATTAAGACAATGATTCTGAAAATTTTATTACAATCTCTGCGATGAGTTTCGAGAAAATTAACTTTGAAGAAAAATGAAGGAGTTTTTATTTTGCCTCGTTTATCCAGGCAAATGGCTTCATTTTTTCTGACAAATTAATTTATCAACAAGAATTATCGATAGTCACTGTTACTTCTGTGAAAACTTGAGTGCAATCGAATCGAAATTTGCGACGTATATGTAGTTGGAGTTTAAAAATACGCTCGAAGGGCTATTTATTACGATCGAAACACTTTAAATATAGATTCGAGCCGCAGGCGATATTCTATATWTACCCGATAAAAACACGTACTCGAATTCTATAAACAACTTCTAGAACTCCAACATCGAGAAATTGTTATCATTTTCGAAAAAAACTAAAAAAATGCGAAAACGGTGATAATCTATATTCTAAAAACTTCTAATAAGCATGTCCATTGTGCCACAATTGAAAGAATTTTGATTCCACACGGAAGAACGGCTAGTCTATGCTAAACTGCATGTCTGCACATTGATTGAAACTGATATAAAACCTAGGAAAGGTGTATGATGCGACATTAAAACTGAGACCTTTGCTAGTGTTGGGTTGCGATATAGCGCTGATGAACTTGAACATCTCAGTTCTCTATATATCTGATATAGAATTGATTAATAAAAACATCAGCACTTTATGTAATGTCCCATCATGTGACCTAATAGTTCGATGCTCATTGGACTGATAACTCATGAATTATTAATGAGTTCTAGAATTGATTTTATGTAATAAAAATTCCCGAATGCTTTGCCAGATTTCTATGTAATGGCATTAGTCCCAATCCCCTGCAAAGGGATTTAAAACAAAATCCGAATATCCATGAAAATATGCGCAAGGCTTTCTGAATAAAGTTACCCATGGCCATCATGGAAATGTCCCATTACAGCGCGAGTTTGAGTCAAACGGTGTCTTTTAATTTACTCATTTATTTGTTTAATGTTTTCTGCTCATGTATAAGACCTGTTAACTCAATGTGCTGGAATTCCTCTTAATAACCCTTTTCGCACGTGTTCCTCCTCATGTTTTCTACTTCTCCTGTGAATATTAATTTAGTCCCGGTATGTTTTTCATATGCAGCATTTGTTTTGCAAATAACTTTTTTCCACAGCTTTGTACAAGTTTTGCTGTGTAGGACTGCGATGTCCAACTTGTCCTTTGACTCTCAATCTTCACGTCCTCGAACAGAAAATATTGGTGAACAGTAGCTTACAGATGGATTGTAGGGAATACCTTTTCAATTACTCCATTGATGTTATACAACAGCCAAAGAACTATTCTGTAGAGGTATTGTATACTGTAAGATGCTTCTTAATAAGCACATCATGACTGACAGACTAGACCAGCTTCTCTTTGAGTCCTGTTAAAGTGGTTTTATTGCATGCGTCAATTGCACGCTTGTTGAAATCAA